TGAGCCAATTACAACCAAAATTTGCAAAAAAGGTGAATGGGATTAAAATTTATTCAAATAAAGGCTCACGCCTTTTTTTAAAAGGAGGATCATTAAGAATTAGTGAAAATTAACTTAACTAGTGAAAATCATCTTTTAAAAATCTTCTTTTCAAGAATCACTGGGTCAGAAAATTTAAAACTTATGTGAAAGTTGCATCACATATCGCTTGGGCTATTAAAGTTTAACACGGGAATACACAGTAAAATATTTAAAAATCCCCTTCTCGGGAACAGTAAGCCATGAACAGACATATTTAAATGGAGCCATCCTCAGGTAGTTTTGAAGTTTGACAAAATTATAACCCCGAGGCCAGGATGGGGTCACAATAAACGATCAAAGTTTTACATATAAATATATAGGGACAATCTTTAAAAATCTTCTTAGGAACCACTAAGCCACGTTTATTCATATATATATGGAAGCATCCCCAGGTAGTGTTGATAGATTCAAGTTTGTTCAAATCATGATCCCCGAGGTAGGGTGGGGCCACAAGCAAAGTTCTACATAAGAATATACATGTGTAGGAAAACATTTTTTCTAACAACAAAGCTACGATTTTTCATATTTACATAGATTCACACCAATGTAATATAGATTCAAATTTGTTCAAATTATGACTTCCAGGGCAAGGGTGGTCCCCATTAGTAATCAATGTTTTACATGGGAATGGATTTGGAAAAATCTTTAAAACATTTATTTTTCTGGAGAAGAACAAAGCCATTTTTGGTCATATTAATATGGAATCATCCCCAGGTAGTGTAGATTCGAGCTTGCTAATATCAATGCCCTAGGGAGAAGGGTCGGGTTATAATATAAGTACGAAGTTTTCAATAGAAAATATGGGAAGTGTTTTTTCTCTCTGCTCCAAATAAAGCCGTGTTAAGGCATATTGATATTCAAGAGCCTTCAAGTAGTTTAGATATAAGTTTATTCAGATCAGGACCCTCAAGAATAGATTGACTACACAAAGGGATCATTGTTTTACAAGGGGGTACACTGTACGAAATCTTTGAAAAGAATTGCAAGATCACAATAAAACTTATAAGTAAAACATACCTAAGATGTGCAGAGTATATTTTTTAATTATTAGCTCTGGGGTTATAAAAAATGCATGTGTACTGGAAAAAGTCTTCTCCAAAAGAGCAGGACCATGTTAATAGTATTGATACTGAAGCATCCATATGCTGTGTTGATTTAACTCTGTAAAAATCCTGACTACTTTAGGTCTAGATTTTGTCCACAATGTGAAGTAAAAATATTATTGAAATAAAGAAAAAGGATTTTTTTTAAAAAAATCTGCTGGGCCAGTTACTCAGGTGAGCGGTAATCAATGTCAAGCTAGGATTCAAAAGATTCCCTGATCAACACGAGAAGCTATCAATATTAACTTTAAGTCCGTTTTAAAATTTACTTTGTACATAAGTTTTTCATGCACAAAATAAGAATTATAATCTACTCTTTGAATCTTTTTCTATATGTCTTTGTGCAATGTTTGTATTTATTATTCTTTGAATTTTTAGATTCTGCTGAAGTGAAAGATCTTGATCTTTCTCCATTTTTTGGATGGCATCTCACTGGAAGCCCTTAGTTTTGTTGAAGTTTAATACAAATCGATGTCAATCGTATTTTCACCATCAACTTTAAAACTCTTAATTATCGACATCTACAATATGCTTGGGAGTATTAAAGCTTCCATACGCATTGTTGAAAGTTAAAGGGGCATAGACAAAGATTAGTTAATATTTTTTCAAATTTTCATCCTTTGGTGAAGGGAATTTAAAGGACTTATCGCATGTTTCTAAATTATTTGAAATTAAAAGTGTAAAACGTTCCTTATGACCACAGCTTATAAATTTTGTGTTTTTACAGTGGATAAATCGCGGTAATTAACCAATTATTGACTCAAATGAAACCCCCCAAATTAAAAATCTAGATTAATTAGATAGCGATCACGTGACCCTGTGACGTCAAAGGCGACAATGGCTGATCAGTTCCTCACGTTAATCTTACTAAAAAATACGTGATACAACGTGAATTTTCTACGTTATGAATGACCAAATCACTGATTTTATCGATATGAATTTGAATATCCAACCTTATATTTTAGAATTGTTAGCAAGAAAAAAATTCTGAAAAATCTGTTAACATTGTAAAAATAGCAGCGACGATAGCGAGGGAGACGCGGCGAAGACGAAGAAACTCGCCATCACAATACAATTTGATTTGTCATCTTATCACATGTATGAACTTTTTTGATTCACAAATTTAACATTATATAACTTTGTTATTCTTCATTTTTAATATTATAATTTATGCAAGTATGCCTCCATATGTATTGTAAAGGATGGCGGTCTTGAAAAATATTTTCCGATCACGGCGAAACATTGCCGTGATCAGACCTACAGATGCTAAATATCTGGAATAAAAAAGAAAATATCTCAAAAGTCTTATTGCTTAGAAACTAGATTAGTTAATGTTTCTATAGTAATTGAAAAGCACGTTAGGAATTATTTTTTCCAGCATTTTTCTTAATTAAGATGCATTTGTCCGTGATAACCTCATAAATAGTATGCAACTTCTCATCTCTCTATCACTGAATTGTCGCCTATGACGTCAGAGCAGTATTTCGCCGAAATCCGACTGAAATATGCATATTGCCGTATTTGAATTTCAACTCTCAATATCTCTTAAAATACGCTTTCAACAACGTTTATTTTATTCAGTATTTTAATAAACAAGGTTGTAGATAATATTTTTCATAAAATTAAGATTTTTGAAAAATCATGCGATAAGTCCTTTAAGTTTGTTCACAGGAAGTGCAGCGCCCTCTTCCAAGGGGAGATAATGAAGAATTCGTGAAAATTTGGTGGCATCTTTTAAAAAAAAATCTTCTCAAGAACCACTGATCAAGAAAAGATGAAACTTATGTGAAAGCTAAATTACATAATCTAAATTCATGTTTGTTCATATAATGACTTCCAGGGGGTAGCGCGGGGCCACATGAGTGGTTTTACATAGTTTTACATAGGAATATATAGGAAATGTCTTTAAAAATCTTCTTCTCTAGAGCAGTAAAGCCAAGATTAGTCATATTAATATGGAAGTGTCTTCAGATAGTGTAGATTCAAGTTTGTTCAAATTATGACCCCCGGGGGTAGGACGGGTCCAAAACAGTGGGTCAAAATTTTATTAGGAATATATAAAAGATGTGTAGGCGTTGAAAAGTATATATTTAGACATAATTCCCATTTATTACTATTACCATGTAAGTGTGGGATCTGTCCTAATATATTACTTTGTATTTTGGTAAGAGTTATCTCCATCTGTTTTTAATGAATAAAAGAATTAATTTTAAAAAAAACTTATCCGGTAAAAAAGAAGTATTCATTTATATTCTTATGATTTGAATTTTTGTTTGTTTTTTTTTAAATCGCTTGTCCCCATAGACTTTAATGAAATCTTTCTTAATTTTAAAATTACTACATAGTTAATACCATTTTTGAAATTCTCTCTTGGTAAATCCTTTTTACTGTAAAATGCTTTAATATTAATATCAGAGTATGATGACTGTGATGGACATTTAAGGGTAGAAAATTTGGTCCTATTATGGATGGAGAACCTTAAAGGTAAGAGCAAAATAAAAGTATACAAAGTTATTAACACCAGTGGCAAGTATCATAAGGAACTGATGTTAAGTTCTGGGTGTAGTAAATCTGAAGAAGATTGAGACACCTAGAACTTTTTTATCAATGGGAACCTAGGGAAGCAACTTGATGCAAGTCGTACTTTACCCTGTATCCATCTCTAGACAAGAGAAAATTTAAGTTTAAAATCTTTGTAATATACCCTCAGACAGAGGTTTCTTAATAATCATTCCAATCATCTACTCACAGAGTAAAAGGAAAACCTATGTATCCCTTGAAAGAACCTGATCATACACCTTACATAGGAAATATCTATAAAATCTTCTCAAGAACAACTAAGCCACTAGTCATATTTATACAGAAGCAACCTTAGGTATTGTAAAAGTTTGTTCAAATCATGACCCCCGGGGCTTGGGGACACAACAGAAAGTTTTGCATAAGGATATATAGAAATCATTTTGAAAAAAAAAAAACTTCTGCTTAAGAACAGCAAAGCCATGATTAGTCATATTATTATAGAAGCATCCTTAGGTAGTGCAGATTCAAATTTAGGACCGGTAGGGTGGGGACACAATGAGAGATAAGAGTTTTACAAAGGAAAAAAAATAGAAAAAAAAATGGGGGGGGGTTAAAATTCTGTTTAAGAACAGCAAAGCCATGATTAGTACAATTGATATGGAAGCATCCTGATGTAGTGTAAATTAAAGTCCCGCACCCTGATTTCTGCTTCTTCGTAGTCAATGTGCTCAGGTATTCAAAGTGGCCCATGGGCTCTTGTTTCTTTCTTGGACAAAAATATCAAGTTTTTTTAAATTTATATCTGCACATATTCCCTAGTATTATATAATTGTTATTGATTTAAAAAAAAAGAAACATGCATTTGAAATTTCATACATCAGTTTATTTAGTCAACATAGGAAAGATCATTACTTTTTAAGTTCAAGCATAACTAAAGTCTTGCAATATAAGCAGTAGACATATTAATGATTGTTAACCTGTTGAAATTCCTAAGGAATTATTATACATATTTATGTTAAAGCCTTTCTTCAGCAAAATTTCGTACAAAAATAAGTTAATTTTTATATTTTTTGCTTAAAATCAGCTTGGATTAGTGTGAAATCACTTATTTTAATGTGGTAAAATGTTCTCTTGATTTCGAGGTTGACAAAAATATGATACTGTAATTTTAAAATTTTACATTTTCAGGAAGACATTGAATAAATGGGTCTGTTCATATCAAGGAAATTAAACCCCACGAAAACAAGATTTCACATTATATAAAACTGATAACATTTGATTCTAGTATTCGTGCAGTTTGATTCGAAGGGAAAGAAAGTATATACACACATTCTTTTGAAGAATTATAAAATACGGAAATTATAAAATAACGTTAACAAGGTAATGATAAACAGCAAAATACACACACAGGATAATACTTTTGTCTTTCAGGATGCTTAACGACGTTGTTTTTTGAACCATAAAATCTGTTCGAGTCATTTTTTCCGGTATGAGATGCCTCGTCATTTATTTATATGCGGTCTGAAATGGACGATTATCAAAGTAATTAGTGTTTCCACTCATTGTAATGAATAGAAAATGTTCTTTAAATTTAACGTTCAAGTAAAGTGTAAAGAATATTTTATTCAAAAATAATTTATACTTGTAAAATATATAAATTTGTACATGTTCCTATAAGATTCACCCACCTTTGTTAACTTTAAGTACTTCGTAAGATTCATCATTGACATACAAAGGGTTTTGTTGACTTTTGTTTTCACTGTTACAAATCAACAAGAATGCAGAAAATAATCCAAAATTAGTAAAAGATTTTTTACAAATGATAGTTTAATTCTATTTTTAAAAGAACAATCTAGATTTAAAGAGTGTATACCTTTCTTTTTGATCTTCAATTTTCCCTGAAATTTGAAATGTTATCTTATGAAAGATATTCGCCACACGAACAACAATATATTCATGATGAATGAAAGATAAGCCGAAATTTTGGTTAATTTATATATTCTCTGCATTTTAGTGGGTAACATTTTGAGAAATGGCAAAATACACCTTTTGCTATCATTAAATTGCGAAATTTTGCGTTAATACCTGTCATTATTTAATTATTACATAATTACCAGGTCATTCATTGCTGAAATGTACCTCAATGTATACTGTTGAAACATTTGATTAAATTTATGTTGTTATATATGTTGCCCCGAAAGAAGTCTGGCGACATTTTGTTATTCAATATATAGACCTAAAATTATGTTCGCAAATGCTCTCGCAGATGGCTGGGAGAATTTTAAAGAAACTTCACAGAAATGATAATCACCAATTCTAGATGTACCATTTACATATGATTTTTTTTTTTAAATGAAAACCGTTTCCATGGAAACAGACAAACTAGATTTTTTTCTTAATTTCATTTTCTCAGACTGCTCAGCCAAGGTTGTTAAAACTTTGAAGGATTGTACATTGCATTCTGGAATGCCACATGTATTCCATATGTACCAATATCTAGTTTGTTCGCCAGCTATGCATATACATTTATGCCCTGGCATACCCAACAAACTATACAGTAATTTCTCAAATAACAGTAACTTGATACGAAGAACCAGATCACGCCGAATCATCAAATCAAACTAGACGCGAAGAGTCGAGTTTGATATAAGGATCCGCGCCCATGAACGAGATGCGATCTGACTTTTCAGAACAAATTCCTGTTATAGTGATAAATTTATTGTATACCCCTCTATTTTAACTGTAGTGAAATGTAGTAAATATACATTTATCTTTAAAAAAAAAAAAACGCATGTTCAGTGAGGTTTTTGATACGCAAAAAACGTCTATATGACATGTATTACGTCATCAGTTTCAGAGTGAGATGATATGATATGATATGATATGGATTCAGAAAACTATAGTGCGGTGGCCGGAAAGTGATTAGGTTATGAAGTGAAATCAACAGTAAAATTGGGTGATGCCTAGTTTGGTATGTAATGAAAATGTATGTATATTGAAAACAGAATATGGTTACAAACATTATTATTATAATTCTTAAAGAAGTGTTGGTATTCTTCAATCTACTTTTTCCATTTCTATTGAAAGCTTACCAGAATTTCCACCAGAACAAGAGTTTCCCTTTCTTCTTCTCATACACTGTATCAGGAGGACAATACTTAACACAACGATGAAAGCCACCAGTAACCCAGTAGTTGTTCCAAATGCTGCATCTGTTATACATTGAGTTTCTTCACCAGCTTTAGCTGCATCTCTCATGCCTTGAGAGTCTACATTAGTTGTCGCTGAATGAATTTAATGCAAAAATATCATTAATATGTTATAGTATTATGAATACTTATGAATTTAGAATATACTTGACTTTGAGAAACAAAACTAAGAATTTTTTTTCCTGATATTCAGCGTGTTCATCTATTCGTCCCACGTCTGTCACTTATGGTCATTTGAGTTCTTTCAATCATTAATATTCATTAAATCTTTCCTTACGAAGGCTGAAAAATTGCCGACTCGGCATTTAACAATAACAATCATCAATCAATCAATCCTTACTAACACGTTCATTTAATAATGTATAATATCTCTTTATATCTGTACAAATTACAAAATATTAAAAAAATACAGACCACATTACTTCAATGATTCTTACAGAAAACGGTGATGATGACTGGATCTGAAACTTCGTCGTATATATAGATAGAGGAAGATATTCCTCTGCATCTGCAAACCTTCCTATTGTGACGTGCAGTCGCTTTGATTTCTAGGTAAGTCTCTGTTCCTATGTCCACTCCATTCTGCGGTGCAATGTTGTCACAGATCCATCTCCAGCTTATTTGTGGATATCCCAATGTTGTAAGATTACACTTTATGTTTATGTATTCACCACTCTGTACAGTTGTAGGAGACAAGGGATAAATCATAGGTCGTGCCTTGGGTGAATCTTGCAAAAGTCAGCATAGGTTATAGACGTTATTGCGCATTGTATCCTAATTTAGAAAGTTCATGTTCAATATATAGTAGTTAAAGCAGATAATTTTCCCAGATCTTTAATTTTCAACATATCCCATGGCCACTGAAAGTATTACTCAATGAATCTTTCTGTGCACTTAAGCATAATTATAAATAATTTAATTTTGTTTGTATTCTAGCCTCTGATTGGTTAATATCCAAAAAGGAACACAAATTATTTCTGTATAACCTGGTTTGGTATGGGGACAACCCCCCCCCTACAACCAGCTAATTCATCTGTATTCATACAATCCTCTCATTTCCAGTTCTCGGGATTCATCGAAAATTCCAGATTTAATAAATGTACCTTTAACTTCAAACAATAATTCGATCTTACCACATGTAAACAAACAACATGGCTGCTAGGCCTATATATCAGTTTTTACCTCCCCTCGCTTCCCATCACTTCCGTTACTTCCGTTACTACGGTTGTACTATTGAGCGGCAAATTTGAACTAATAAAAATCAATGAAATTTTAAACCCAAAGTTATTTAATGATTTTAAAATTAAATTATAAGGAATGACTCTAATTCTTGGCCAAATTATTCGAGTATAACCTGGTTTGGGTCAGTTTACGCTGTTTTATAATCCGCTTCGCGGATTATAAAGAGTAAACTGACCCAAACCAGGTTATACTCGATTAATTTGGCCAAGCATTAGAGTCATTCCTAAATTATGAGAATTGGCATTAAATATGCAGGTGTGGTCCATCAAAGATCAAGCAGCAGGTTATAAAGTAATATATGTTATTAATATTCTTCCTTATGTTACGCTTAAAACAGGAAGTTTTTTTAAATCAAAAATTAAAAAAACAAAACAAAACAAAAAAAAGCTCTCATAGGTGATACAACATTCCTGAGGGAAACATAGCAAAGTCTTGTTTTTGAAGAAAAAACCCTGCTGCATCCATACACAAAAAACTACATTTAAATCAGATGAATATTTATGTGTGTTTTAATTTTTAAAAATTAACAGATTAGTAAGAATGAGTGATGTAATCAAATACTTACGAAAAACACGCATCACATAACGATAACGAGATGGGTAGTCGTAAAATAGAACAGTCGAATGTGATTTCGCTCTGCAAAAACAAGATTTCCCGTCATGATACAAAGTTGCCGTGAAATTCATGTAAGTATTATATCTTTCAAATGTTACATTTCTCATTTGTTCGTCACCGCAAAACCATGTCCACGTGATTGGAGGATTTCCCAAGGGATATACGCTACACCTGAATTTCATTAAATCGCCTTCATAGACATGTCTGACAAAATTGTCAACATAGGAATTCATTTCCATGCCGAGAAATGGATCTAGACTCGGAGGTGACGATGGAATAGCTGCAATGTAACAAATACTCAAATTTATAATTAAAGCAATTCTCCCTTAGGCAAGGACGGAAAGGGCTTACGCTTGTATATCTATCTGTCCTGATTTGGCTTTACAATGAGCAAAGAGGTAAAGCAGATTCATACATCGAAGTAAAACTGATTTGCTGTCTTAAAAAAGTCTTCTTTTTTGTTTTGTTTTTTAATATATATGATTTTAGTACACTATAATATTCAGATATTGTAGTATCTTACACTTAAATCGGCCACGAAATAAGGAACCGATGATTTAATATATGATGTAGATACTGATTTTGCACATATGCAATTGATATTGGTTGATTATATATAACCGTTTATATTGAAATAACCAACGCATTTAAAAGACATAATGTCCTAAAAATCCTTTAGCAGAGGAAAAGAGGTTGCAATGATTAACGATACATAAAAAAAGATACAAATGTATCACAAATTTAGAAGCATTGATATACTAAAGTAACATATAAACATAACTACTAAGTCTGTTATCTTTGCCATCGAAATGCCCATGATATCACCAGTTTCTCATAATGTGATACCACTCTCCGGATTTATTCGCATGCCTGAAAGTAACTCTTTGACTCTGTTCTAATGTATGACAAATTGTAAACAAAGCGATTAAGTAATTTATCCTCTGGTCATTATGATGTAGAAAATATTTTCAAGTGAGCCCATCCAATTTTAGCTATTTTTTAACTATCACCTTAAACAGTTAAATAAAGGGAGGCCCTTAAATGAAGAAAAGGCTTGATCGTTCCTCTCCAGCATTATATTCTTAATTAGTAGGACTTGAAAAAAACTGAAGTATAAAGTTCAGCTTTTAGAAATATACTTTACCACGAGTTATTTATTGCAAGATTTTTGAAACACAGTTTTAATGTCATCCACAGATCTTAGTATCTTAATGTGAGACCATTCAATTCATGTTTCAGATTACTTCTGGATATATCTTACTGTAAACCATTCGTAATATATTTGTATTGTTTGTTACGTAATAAGAACTCTCTTGGGACACACAGAATACTTAAAAAGCATTATGATAGCATGTCATGCATTGATACATGAAAGGAATATTATTAACAACTGAACTTACTGTCTGATATTACGGTTGAAAAGATGCAAAAGGTCCAAATAAATTCCAGGTAAATCATTGTGGAGAAATAATACACATTAAAGCGAAAGAAATACTTATAATATTTACACAGGAAGTATTGACGTAATAATATTTGTCAATATACTAGAAAGATTTTTTTAAAGAAATATCATATTAAACATATAGGGAAAATACTTTTTTTTAAAATAGTTTTTTAAGCTTTTGTCCAATCCCATTTGTGAAAGTTGTGTAAGTTTTGTGTAAACAATAAAATAAGTTCAAATCAGGGATAAAAACGATTTACGGCATTAAAAAGAAGATTTCCGTTTTCTGTTTATACGAGGGTTGTCCGGGAAAACCGTGGACAAGTTGTCTAGATTAAAAAATAATCATCACTGCGTTCTGAAAGTTTTACAACGTTTTAATACATTTTTCATTGATATACATAGCAAATTTCAAATAGATATCTGCTCAAATAAACAAAATATGAGACTTTATGTTATGTGTGGTATCGCCTTACGGCGCACGGATGATAACGTCAAAGTGTCTAAAGCAGCGTCACGTTTTCTCTTTGCTTAATACAAGTTGGATAAGCCCCACTTAAATTCGGGGATTTCATTGATACACATACATGTACTTGATTTTCCCTTTATTCCTCCATAAACAGTCGAGGAACCAATCTCGCACACACATAGTACCTTCTGAAGATTTATTAGTAAGTTATGGACAGTACTCTCACTATATCATTCAACTAAATAGGCTATCTACAGTGACAGCGTCTTTTGCTATTGCCAGCAGCTGTTTGGCCATACGTTTTGTTCTACCCGGGGACCCGATCAAAAAGCTTCCGCTTAGAAAACTCCCATTTCACTTGTATTCTAAAGATCTAGTGATATTTTTATATTTTTTTATCTTCTGTAGTCATTTAAAGTTTCTTAGGGCATCATTACTACATCTAAATCAAACTGAACTGCTCTCCGGTGCGCCGTAACGTCACCAAACGTCGCCATTTTTCGTGTGTTGCGTTTACCACTTTCCCATTTCAAATGCTCGGGAAACTGCCAAAAATTAAGCAGATGCCTTGATATTTTACAAAAGACGAAATAATAGATAATAGATTAAAAACAGTATAATTTTTACCCCAATCTTATCTAGTTGATACTTTTATTTCGAAATAAAATTCGTGTATTCGCTAATAAAACCCTGGGTTTTTGATCGTACGCCGTAGGACCGTACCCTGTGCACATTCAAGCATAAAAAAAATTATTTTTTTTTCATATTTTATCCAAAAAATTAAGATCCACTTAAATATGACGAATAAACATTTGCTAAAAATTTCAGCTTAGTGCGCCTATTATTTTTCGAGAAAAACCCTTTGTCCACGATTTAACAGGACAACCCTCGTACATGTAGTATGTCGACACGATATATCCCAATGAGCTTGAAATGAAAGATACCACAGAGTCTGACACATCTGTTTTATATTTGGATATTTTCCTAGAAAAAGACGTTAATGGTAATCTAACAACAAATCTTCATGATATAAATAAATTTGTATTTATGTAACCATATTCCACAGTCACGTAAATATGGTGTTTATGTCTCTCAACTGATTCGATTTTCAAGAACGTATTCTGAGTGTGATCAATTTTTAAGCAAAGACAGGTTTATGACAGAGAATATGATGATGCAGGGATTTCAGCTATCTTTGTTTAAAGTCGGCATTTCACAAATTATATTGGTCGTTATCATGTCATTGCTTGCAAATACAACCAACCGTTGGGT